GACACCACTGCATCAATTTAACAGGACTCAGATTTGAAGGTATGCAAAATTCTACAATGAATAGCAATTGCTTTATTATTTATGAAAAAGGTCAGAATTAAGTAGTCAGCCTAAAGACTAAGACTAAAACAGTTGCCTAGACCCTCTTGTTAAACCCAAGGACAAAACAAACACATGCCTAAACAGGGGTTATTGTGAAACACGGAAGCTCATTCTAGGCAGTGCTAATCTTGTTTAATAAAAGCAGAAATATTCAAGTCAGTCACAGTTTTAATTTAAATCCCACTTCCTTCCTCATCCCTAATTACAGAAATAGCTGATGCAGTGATAAACCAAGACCATCAATAACCAAGCTATAATTTGCCTTTTTTCTCATAGGATAGTCATTAGCACAAGCGTTTAATAAGTCAGTCACAGTTTTAATTTAAATCCCACTTCCTTCCTCATCCCTAATTACAGAAATAGCCGATGCAGTGATAAACCAAGACCATCAATAACCAAGCTATAATTTGCCTTTTTTCTCATAGGATAGTCATTAGCACAAGCGTTTAACGAGCTTAATGAACTCAACAAAATTCTCAGTGGGAGAGGTACAAAGGGGTCAGTAGCAAAGAACCATTTCCCAATCCCTCCAAACTTTTTACCATGAAAAATTTCCATTTCTTGTTTTAAGGTTATTTTTTAAAAAGACAGTCCTACCATCAAGGTCCAGAACATAAAACTCACCTATAATTGTAGTTGCAAAATTGAAGCTACACCTTAATCAAATAGTATTCCAGGGAATTGTTAATATAAAAATTATCTTAAAAGGGGGTGGAAGTCAAACAATGTCCATCAACAGAGAATGGATAAATTGGGATACATCCAAACAATGGAATGCTACTTAGTAATAAGGAACAGACTGTGAATACACTCAACAACATAAATATCAAAAAATTAAGCAAAAGTCGAACACAAAAGAGTACATATATGATTTCATTTCTATGAATTTCTAGAACAAGCAACACTCATCTATGGTAATAGAAGTCAGAACAATAGTTACCTAGGGAAGGAGTAACTGGAAAGGGGCAAGAGGAAATTTTCCGGAGTAATGGAAAAGTCTACATCTTAATGGGGATTGTTATCAAATCTCACACTATAAATTGAAAATTTGTGCATTTTATTGAATGTATATTATACTTCGGTTAAGAAAAAATTAAGTACTGTGTATCTACTTTATCCTAAAGTTAAATATATTCTACCATCCACAGAAAGCATTTAACGAATCTTACTATATTAAAAACCAGCACAGGTCATTCAGAAAGCAGATATGAAGCTTTAATTCACCATGGGCATTTCTCTGACCATACTCTATGTTAGATATAAACTGTTTCACATCTCTTCACACAGATACATCTTTTATAAGACAGTTTTCCTAACAAGTACTCCATACCATACCAACATTCCATTTAACTAGTTAAGGGCACACTGTATATATTATCATGAACCACTGATTAGATATAAATTCAGAGGTTGAATACATATGTTAGAAAGTTTAAATTTTAAAAATTTAATAAAAGCTAAGTACCATGAAAGTTTACATATATTCGTTAATTCTAGACATCACATTACAACCAATTACAATAGAATCACAACCTCTTTTTAGATGACAGTACATTCAGATTTCTAACACTCAATTATTTTCATTTACACAATGTCAACTCCACACTGCATTTTCATGTCTATAGAAAGCAGACCAGCTTTCAGGCTGCAAACCATGTTTCTTGTGTAATAGTAAGAATTACTACCTTGATCATGACCACACGAAACAAAACTTATATTCCCTATACTATATAGAGACAAGACAGTATTCAGTATATAATAACATGGAACTCTTTAGTGGTGGTCAAGCAATTCAAATAGTAACTAAAATGGATTTTGCTACCGCAGTCTACACATTTCATTAAAAGATGAAGTCTCCATCAAAATGTTTAGAAATAAATATATACTTACAGCCTTTCCCCCTCCAAAATACTGCCTGGGAAAAAAGTTCCAAGCTGACTTAAAAAACAAAAATATAAACACCTCAGAAAACAAACACTATATGATGTTCTGAGCTGTAATCTTCCTGAGTCCAATTTTTAATTAGAACAAATTTTGCAGCCAATATTGCATTCAGTATCCACAATTCTGAGGGATTCCTTGAACATCTAATCCACATCGTATCCTGCAGAAATCTGAAAGGACTCCTAAACACCCAACCAATTGACTCGATGGAAAGCTGATCATGTTTTGTATTAATATCTACATGAATATCAAACATAGTCATAGCCATAGCCATTTTTTTAACAGTGATACTAGAATAAGTGATGAAAATATATGCAGAGCTGTACACAGATCACCATTAAACACAGGAACAAAATGCCATTTGATGCATATCAAATAAGCTCCCCAAAAGCCAATTTGAGTATATTTTTACTTAGTTTGACAGAGTATTAGAAGGGACTGCATATAATTATGGAGAGTGCTGCAAACAACACTTGATGCTACTAAGTGTTCTATTAAGCATCAGGCATGCACAATAGTTGCCTTTTAAAGTTTCTCATGTGTATATCTTAACACGTATCTTAAGCTACAATAGTATTTAAAGCATTTAGTAATTTCAAACCAAATATTTTAATTGATCTATGTCTAAGTGGAGAAAAACAAAAACTTTCCTCCCCTGTCTCAATACCGGAAGGTCTATTAAAGCTGACTCCCCAAATTGATATTTTATCTATGTCATCCCTAAAATCCCAAAAGTGATGAAAATTCTTATCACTACTAGACAAGAAGTACGATTTCCCTGCAGCAGCCTACCCAACCCACACTTACAGCATGCCAACCAAGCCTTGGGGGATTACATGGTAAGAGTGATGTGCTGGTGGCTACAGATGACAATTACTGAACATATCAGTCTCTTCTTTAAATTCTGGATCACTTTATTTTAAACTAAATAAAGCTTTTAATTAATACAAATTAAAAAAATCTTTCTTTATTTAACATCATTATAAGAGTAGGTAAAACCAAAAACTTTTATTGTTGTCAAGTATGTGGCAAAACAGAAAACGCTTCAGTTATATTAGGAAATCAGGGATGGGGAAGGGAGTGTGGTCTGTTTTTCCATTTAAGCAGCATTCCAGTTAAATAACCACAAAAACTTACAAATTCAGATTGCCTGGTCTTGGTTTTTTATGGCTTAAAGTACTGGATTTGAAAAGCCACTTCAGGCTAAAACAAATTTATATGAATAATGCATAGATTATGTATCTAGAAAATCTCATGCAATAAATAATGTTCTCATGTACATTGTAATCTTAGTGAAGAAAGGGGTCTGTAGGTGCGAATAATGTTTCTTCCCTTTTACCAAGAAAATACAACCAGCAAGATCCTTGCTTTTAGCCTATTCAAGATCCTATTTGCCAGGTCATCCTGATTTTCTCAGGTTGGTAAAAGCAGCCAATGTCTCAAGACACCTGCAATAAGGAAATGACTTCCCTCAAGTATAGGTGCTGTGAGGTCCAAGCCAGGCAGAACCAGACTCTCATGGTGCTACAAAGTCAATCTGGAGTACCTAACTTGCTAGGATATCAAATGGGCAAATGTTTGCAATGACCCACTGGAAATGTTTATTAGCGTTTTTTTTTTTTTTTTTTTTTTAATCTATCCACACTTTAAATTTATTTCATTTGAGAATTGCCAGGGTAAGATCCACTCACTATTCCTGGTTTTGATATGCACCTACAACATGAGAATTGAACTGAACTACAATGATTGTAATGTCATCTCTGTACATCCGAGCAAGCTCTTCAGGAAGACTAAGCATTTTGGAGAGGCGCTCGTGATCAACAGCCCCAAACTCGTTGTTGCCTACAGCGTGTCGAATGAGATGGGTTGCTGCATTCTGATCCTCAAATACCGAGGACATCTTGGCTCTCCTTTCTGTTAAAAGACCATGCATCTGTCCCAGAGTCACCTTGTAGCCACCAACAGCTATTGGTTGTTGGTGATGCATACCAGTTAGGTATTCACCCACAATCCTAACCACATCCTGCCTATGCATGGTCTCCCACAACCCATCAGTTGCCAACACCAGAAACTTATCCTGTGGCCTTAATCGGTGGTAAGTTACCTCTGGCTCAGCAGTAAGATAAGGAGGTGTGTGATAATTAGGAGGGATAAACTTGGTATATTCATTGTCATTCAACTGGTCTGGGCCAGACTCTATCACTCTCTTTTGAAGGTCAATGCTCCATTTGAACTTCACATCTCCAAAAGCCCTAAAAGGCATCAGCAAGCCAAGCAGCCGATCCTGTTTCACCACACTCTTGGCCTCATTCTTTGGGTGTTCCAATTTTAGCCGTTCTAGTTCTCTTTCATTCTGAGCATTGTGGTCATTAGAGAGTGTGACTGCTGACCAAGAGCCATCCTCTTCCTGCACACCCAGCATAGCTCTGCTATCACCAGTGTTGGCCACATGAAGATCAACACCATCCACATGTGCCACACAAGCAGTGGCCCCAGAAAATGCCACTCGAAGCACCAGGTAGTTGAGGAAAGAATTAGGATCACCAACTTGCGCCTCCAAGGAGATGTCATTATCAAGCCTCTTGAAAGCATTAATTAAAGCCTCCTTAACATCGATATCTGTTGACTCGCCAGTGTTGAGGTCTATAAGCTCTTGCCAGTAAGTCCTCAAGCTGTTGAAGTACAATTTAGATGCCTCCTTACTGAAGTAATCATTAGGGTGCTTGTGCCACTGGAGGATGGGTAGCAGTGCCCGACCACTCTCCACTGCATTTTCAATCTCTAGCAAAGTCTCATGGGGTAACAAAGAGACAGCAATATAATAAAAGAGTCTTTCACTGACTGCCTGGGAACAAGCACAGCCTGCATGGCCATCAAAAACCCCCAAAAGCATCCCTCTGGTCTGCAAACAGGTTGCTGCACTTCTCCGGTCCTCAATGGGTGCATTTGCAGGCAGCTGATTGCTGTCAAATCCAAGGACAGAACTGACATTTTTGCCATCAAATTCTGGCACTTTGAAACTGTATTCATTAGCCTTAAGGATGCTGTTGACTTGTGGAGGTGTGAGGTAAAATTTTTGTGGTGTTGAAGAATATCTTCTTCCTTGGGTGTACTGCCACCAGTTCTCTTTTGGCCTACAAAAGGTAGCATATGCTGGATGGGGTGTATATCTCAAGCGACTCGAAGGAATGTAAGGTGATGAACAGCAGAGATGTTTGTGGTGGCAGTAACATGCAGTGCCATAGATTCTGCTCAGTTCACAGTTACGGATGAGAGGAAAAAACAATTGTGTTGGTGCTGGCATGGCATCAGAGAACAGCGGCGGGCTGGAACTTCTGACTGGGATTCCTAGACAGCAAATTAGACAGATGTACACAAAGAAAAGAGTTACATTTCAAATTACTTAATCTACCTTTTTTCTATAGCAAATATTTAGCAAGTGAATCTGCATGCTAAAGCCTGTGCTCGGAGGTACTATATTTTATACACATATCATACACTATTGCTGCAGGGTATTTTCTGTTAAGTACAACCCCCAGTTGTTCATGGAGCCAGGACTGAACTATACCCAAGTTTCACTTTTCTCCATATTTCTTTGTGCAGTACAAACTGTGCAGAATGTAAAAGAGATTTGGCTGGGGAAAGCTGAGGAGTTGAAGGTTATATAACTTTACACAGTGGCAGTCTACCTGGCCAATCACACTTCTGTCTATCCTCAAAAAAGGCCTTAGATCTCCTATTTTGCACAGGGATTTCTCCCATTTATGAAGATCCTGTTTCCAGATCTGTAGTCAATTGTCAGCATTTGATTATACATGGCTATCACCAAAAAGTATTAGGATATATCCCCAATATATGTACATTTCTCAAGTAGTTGAAAGTTATATACATAAAAGGGGCCTTCAAGAAGTTCATGGAAACATTTGTATTATCTTTTAATTCCGTTTTTCACAAACTTTATGAAGTACCCTCGTATATTAACATATTAATATAATGTTTATTATAACATACACAGAAAAATTTCTACGTCATGAAATAAAAATCAAAATTGTAATTTTATGTTGTATCCCAATGGATGGCTTTACAAACCCTGCTTCTCTAGACTACTTCTCCAATTTGGTGAGCTAAGGGGTTTAGGTCTGCCACCAACTCACCAGATAATCCTGGAAAAGTCAGCTCACCTCTTTGGGTCTCACTTTCTTAAGCTGTAAGTGGATACATCAGAACAGACGCTAGCTAAGGCCTCCTCTAGGATTCTATGCCTTTATGTTTATTGAAGTGAGACTCTGAAATCAAATACAGGTTTCATTTATTTATTGTTGAATTTTCCTGTGTCCTTTGTGATAAAAAAAAGAAAGTTTTAAGTATTCCGTAGCTCTAAAACCTTGTCAGTAACATGAATGGTCTCAGTTCTGGAATTCAACTGACTTGCTACCGTTGTTCCCTGCTCAGCAGCCACAATAGAAAGCTACAGAAATAGTATTTTCATCTATTATGAATCACAAGCAGAATTTACCCCTAAAAAAAAAGTTTTCTCTTATATTAAAAAAAAAAATCTATTTACCCTAGAAAGGCAATTAAAAACAATGAAATAATAGTCTAAGATTTGGATTACAAAGGTATGATATTATAGTTACAAATTTTAAAAAAAACCGTATCACTCACTATATAACATTAAAAGTAATTTGCTGGGCATTTATCTGGAAAATTTAATGAATGTTTATCATTAATCCAGATAATCTGTGCAAGAAAAAAATCCCTCTTCTTCAACATATATTTTCCCTGAATTCCTGAGATACTGCTTCGAAGTATTCCTTTGGATTATAAAGAACAGCCTTTGGAAATCTTTAAATAAAAAAACAAATGCAATAAACAAAAAGGAATAAAGAAAATAAAATCATTTGAGTCTTAATATCAACTATTCCTTCCCAAGGCCGAACCCATTAAGAAAGAAAAAAATCTACAAATATCATAAGGAGTGTTAACTATATATTTTCAAGTATCTTGTTTTGAGGAGTAATTGGAGAAGACTGTAAGTCGGGGGTGGGGATGCACAGAAAACCAAGCTCTGAATACTCAATCAGTGATTCTTGGTTGCTTCTGTAATAAATGCTGCATAAGCCAGCTATAAGGAATCTCTTTTGCAAGTGATAGAAAGTACTATTATATTAACTGTGCTATCTAAGAAGGTATTTGTTTACAAAAATGAAGAAAAGATCAGGCAACAGAAAGTGACAGAATTTTGGAAATAAGAATCCATAACTAAATAAGCATCCCAAAATGCTGTAATGAAAAACAGAAATTCCAAAAGAACAGGAATCTATCAGGACTAACTACTTAAATAACAGCACTTCAAACTGAATACCTGAAAGTCATCCAAAGGTTAAGTGTACATGACTGAGCCAGGGGATGTACTCAAATGTTGGACCACATGACATTGGCTTTGGTCTCAAAACCAATTTGTATCTCTTTTTAGGTGTGCATACAGAAAGCACATCAACGCGATGCTTTGCATAAAGATTTTCTATAATAAAAAATGTAAACATGCAATCTTAATGAAAAAAGTTTTCTTCATAATTTTATTTTTTTCATAATTTTATAAGCATGCATTTGTCCTTACTTTAAAACTTAAGAATCTCGCAGGAAAAAGAAATGTGTCCATATGGAACGTAGATTGACTCAAAGTACTATTTGTATGTGTGTGGGACGGAGGGTTGATAGATGCATAATAGGGTTAGATTATTTGACATCTAATCAAGGACTACAAGTTCAGGAAACCTGCACTTTCCTTAAATTCTTTTGACAATTTTTCTGTTTTTATAGTTGATTGCAAAATGAATGAAATCTTGTGGCAAAAGAGCTATGATTCATGCAGCAGGTACTTTGATTAATACTTAAATTCAAACATCAAGCACTCACATCTTCAACTACATTTTTCCTTCAAGGCAAAAGTTCTCGAGATTAAAAACAAAAAATCAGGGCCGGCCTGTGGCTCACTCAGTAGAGTGCGGTGCTGATAACACCAAGGCCATGGGTTGGGATCCTATATAGGGATGGCCGGTTTGCTCACTGGCTGAGCGTGGTGCTGACAACACCAAGCCAAGGGTTGAGATCCCCTTACCCGTCATCTTTTGTTAAAAAAAAAAAAAAAAAATCAGAGAATGAATTCTATCACCTGTATCTTTCAGTTATTCAGGAGCTTAGCATATGAAGAGAGATTGTGTCCTAATACTCCAACTCCCAACATACCTTCAAAAGACAAATTCTTAGGGAAGTTAGAATTCATGAAAACCCTACTGTATTAATGTGTTCTATCACCAGTGGAAGTGTTAAATTCTCTCCATCAGACCAGATACCCTTAGAAATCAAAGTATTTTCAAATGCTTTCATAAATAAGTGAGCACTGAAAAATTCAGTATCTTTCTGAATATCCTGAGATTCAACAAAAACTCATATGAAATCAAAACTTTTGCTGACGAACTTGCTAAATTAATGAAGTAGAAAGCTCTTGATTAGGCAAAGAAAACAGCAATAAGGCATAATCGTTGGTAAACTGGAGCAATGTCAAATTTTCAAATTATTCCTGACCACAATTTCACTGGAAAGTTCCTATCCCACGATCCAGACTCAGCTACATTAGATGCATCTTAGTCCTAGGCAGATTTTGCCAATTTTGCCAATGACTAATAAGGAAAGATGCGCTGCAACCAGAAACAGGAACAAGACCCATCCATTCTTACTGATGCGCTCGGCAGAGACTGTGCCAAGAAGTGATTCCACTTCATCATAAACCCAGGGACCAAATTAATTAGAAAATGTTACTGCACCTACTCCGGAGCTCTTTAGCTCTGCAAAGCTTTTGATGTAAACGAAAAAAAGAAACGCCACACTATTCATTAAATGTGTCAGAACCCCGGTTTATGTAATCTGATTGCATTAAACACCCTGCATAAAGATTCTCCGCGATTTTTCAGCATTTTCTGGAAATGTCTAGCCGTTTCACAGCTTCTGTTACCTTCACATGAATGAAGAAACTGGTTTCCTTTGGAAGACACGAAGCACCAAGCCAGCACCTGTTTGATCAGTTTCCTTTGTCCCTACCTGAAAATTGCACTCACTAAAGCATCAAAGCTATCCCAGTCCAGGACGCCTTTGTCCCCTTTTCCCATCTATCTCATTCCTTAATTCCACATCGACCCACCTAAAACCATCCACACACAAGATCAGTCACCATCCTTCCTGGGTACCCAACGCAGGTAGTTAAGTGAATACCTACCAATTCGTCTGGGCCCGGGACACACACACATTCTCCTGTCATCACAACACGGAGCCGACAACATCCACAACCCGCGCGGGCAGCAGCAGCGACAGCAGCACCGGCCCATTGAAAGCAAGGCAGAGATGCTCATTAGAGGAGGCGGCCGCGGGGAGGCGGGAGGGGAGGAGGGGCGAGGTCTCGCTCCAGCCCGGTAAATGGGCTGGGAGGGGAGAAGAGGATGGAGGAGGGAGAAAGGGGTGGGGAGAAGGAAACCAAACAAACCAACCCACCCCGCAGTAGACGCAGCACCATAGCCCGAGGCGACCCGGACCCAAGCGCGAGCAGAGGTGCGCCCCGGGGCCCGCCCCTCCATCCAGCCCCGGCGCGCTGCATCCTCCGCCCGCTGCCCGGCCTCCTAGTCCAGGGCCGCACACGGCGCCCGCTTCATTCTAGAAGACCAAGGCGGGCCGGCCCCAGGCTGCCAGCGGGGCCACCCCGGACCCCGCGGTGTATAAGAGCAGACCCGCAGGCACAAACGCGGCGCCGCAGCCTCTCTGGAACTCTCCCTCTCGCGGGTTCCTCCGGGGCCCCCACTCTGATAATGGGCGCGCAGGGCCCAACGGACATGAGCCCAGCGCGGCTCGGGCCCGCCCCCCACCCCGAGTCCGCTCGGCCGCTCGCCCGGCCCAGCGGCGTGGCGGCGTTGGCGGCGGGTCCTGGAGGGAGGAGGCTCCTGGGCTGGCCCCAGCTTCTCCGCGCCCGTGGGGCCCGGGGGACGGGCTGCTTCCCTGTCGGGCGGGCTTCCGCGAATTTCTGACACCTCAGCAGGGGATCGGCGGTGCGGAGGGCCGGCCGGGCGGCCAAGCGTCGTACCCCGCGCCTCGCCGGGGCGATGCAGGCTTCCCAGGGTAGCCTGAGGGAAGAGCTCCCTGCCCAACGGAAAACTAAACACCCCAGCCTGGAGTATAAGGCATGGCAGTAACCTCGAGAGTATCTGTTGCTTCATTCGTTTGATACGTTGCAGATTTCAGGGGCATTAACTCAGATAATGGTTTTATGGGTTTTTAAAAGTGAGGGAAGAGCTCCCTGCCCAACGGAAAACTAAACACCCCAGCCTGGAGTATAAGGCATGGGAGTAACCTCGAGAGTATCTGTTGCTTCATTCGTTTGATACGTTGCAGATTTCAGGGGCATTAACTCAGATAATGGTTTTATGGGTTTTTATAAATCGTTTTCTGGACACCCCTCAGGACCCAGAAAGAGGAAACTGGTCTAACTAGCAGCAAGAGGAAGTTATGATGAAGGAATTCTTTCTCCTGTAGAACAGGTGTTTGGTCACTTTCTCTGGAGGGTTTTGAAATCAGTATTTGCCCTGAACGATTACAAAGAAAGGTGGTAGAATGCAGCCCGCAGAAGTGGGAAGAGCACTAGACTTGGTGTCAGAAGACCTTCCAAGTCATTCCCAGTGATGAGACTCAGTTTCCCCATCTGTGAGATGAGATGAGGTGTAGGGTGACATTGGCATTCGATGTGACTAAACAGAAGACATCCGAGGGCTCTTCACTTACCTGCATCCACGTGTATCTTCTCTTTAAGGGATAGTGGCTTCTAAAAGTTTCCTTGGAGAGGATGTCAGGTAGATCATTGCACTTATCCTGCCTAGTGTTAACCAATGCCAGGAAAATTCATAAAGTGATGTAGACTGGATGTAAAAACTGTCATTTTAACAGTACTGTGGAGTTTTATTAATCCTGAATTACCTGCTTTTTAAAGAAATAAAGGAAAAACTTTATATACCCAAACAGTTTCTTCATAACTCCTGGATCTTTCAAGCTGCCTCCTCTGTTCTCTAAATAAATTAGAAGAGAGTCTTTTTGCCCATTCCCAGGCTGACCATGGAACTTTTGTGGCTAGTCTATCTGGCCTTCATCCCAGCTTACACGGGTCCAACCTGCATCACTTTACCCCCTCTTTTTTGCTTCTCAAAGGAGCTTCCCACGAATCTGCAAGTATTCTTCATTGTCTTTTTTATTAAGTACCTAATTTATGTATCTGGT